CATTTCGATTATTAACTCTTATTCATCAATTTCTACAGTTATATTAATTTGTATTACTTTGGAAATATACACTTGGTTTTAATTAAAAATTAAAATATATTTATATTTTATATAATTAAATAAATATCATATTTATAAAGTGTTTATTGTATATTGTATGATGATTACATAAAAGTTAGTATGACATACATGCACCAAATTTACACAGTGATTATTTATACAATCTAAATATACAATCACTATGTTAAATAAATATATAAACTAAAAAACCATTTACATAATCAGTAATCTATTCGATTAAAGAGTTAACTCAATCTTTTATCTTGGACTTTCATATTTTCTGATGTCTTTTAATAACTGCTTAAATTCTTTAAATTTGTAAAAAAAATTATTTTGGCTGTGAATCTCATCTCTTTGTATATTTTTACTCTTATTTATAGATTTTGTCTTTGTTGATTTGTTATCTTCAAAGGACATAAATTTTTATAACATAGTAGCATGCATTGCTTTTTTATCATTTTTTCTTTCTTTTTTTTAAATATTATTTACGAGGTTCGATATCTATTGAAAAAATGACACCATTTTTCTATATGTGTGTGTTTGTGCATACATATGATTTCTTTCCTCTAAAATTAATATTTTGTATTGAAGATTTGGATAAGTTACTTATTTTTTGTGAGTTATGCTATATTTTATTTCATTAAAATAATTTAAGTACAAGAAATAAGATTTTAATTGAAGTTTTCTAAAAAATTCTTCAAATATTATTTCTTATTTTTGTACATTAGATTTTCTTTTTATTAGTTCAAAACTTATGCTATTGTTTTTTATAACCTTTTTTTGAATAGAATAGTTTTATAGGTCTCATAAACATTAGAGTAGGAAATCATTTGCTTGGTACGATCTAAATTGACAATCAGTTTGTTTACAATATTCATTTCTCTTCTTATGTGCCATTAATATATAGTCATCTCTTCCATACTCACTATTTAGATTGTTGTAATTTTTTTTTATATTTTTCTCTAGTTTAAGATCATCTTTAAACATTATAACCTTTTTTATTGCTTTTATGACATGTTCTCATTATATTTATTTATTTAAAATAAATAAATAATTAGTTGATACAATTTCACATTAAAGTCTTTTTCTGATATTATTTTATACAAGTTTGGCTAAGTTTTTGTTCAAAGGTTTGTAGCATGATCTATTGTAAGATATTCTATAAATGTAAATTTTAATGTAGTAATCAAGCTTGTACCAGAATAAATAAATAAATAAATAAATAAATAATCTGCTAGCAGTATTTTGTAATTTTATTATTTAAACCTTATACTATGTGAAATAAATAATAACCAATTATAGGAAAACAGTTCAAAGAATCAATTTGAACATCTTCCATACAAACATAGATATTTTAAAGTTATACTTTATACTATATTAAAAAAAAAGTTTGCCTGAAGTAAATATAAAAAATTAAAGAAGAAAGAATTCAAAGATGAAAATTTTCATGATAAACAAAGAAAGTTTGCCTGATCTTTTTTGAATCTACATATTAAAGATATAAATCCAAAAAAAATTGTAAAAATGTAATATATTTATTTACTATTAAGAAAGAAGAAAGAAGAAAGAATATTAAGAAGAGTTTTATTATAAAAATAATTACAATAATAATAAAAATAGCTATTATTAAGTATAAAGAATAAAAAAAGTTTTGACTCAAGATTAGAATATAAAAATTGACATTGATAAGACCGAAGATAGCAATAATTCAATCCTTATTTATATACTAGCTTGCAAAAAAAGCATATAAAAGCTTCATGAGGGCAATAAGGCTTTGACTAAATATTTAATTTGGAACTTATTGCATAGTTCATATGAAAAGTTGTGATTTGTACTCACATAGTATATTCATGAATTTTGTTGCATATAAATATTTTTTAATTATATATATATATATATATATATACTAATTTATATCCATTTATATTTATCTATATAATTTAGATTTTGTAACATTATTCTTTCTTTTAAGAACAAGTTGTACAAGAAATAATCTAGTTTTAATCATTCTAAAAACTAATAAAATCTAAGATTTTGTGAATAATATCTACCACAAATTCTTAAATATATTCTATATAGACACTATTGATTAGGTCTAATGAACCATCAATAATATCTTATGAAAGAATTCCTTGATTATTATTGAGGTCTTTATAATTTCTTCAGATAAAATATTTAAAAAATTATTTGATATTAAAATAGGAATATTATTATTCAATCATATCACCAAGCACCAAAACTATTTTACAAGGTTAAAATAGATATCATATTGTTTGATAATAAAAATATAAAATACAAAAAAATGTCTTCTTTTCAGATCTTCATTTCAATTTTGACATCATAATAATTGTAACAACCTAATTATTCTATTTAGCAATTTTCAAATGATGTTCATAGAAATAAGTTTTTTAGTTCCTAATTCTTTATCATAGTGAAGAAAATGTATAAAAAAATTATAATTTTATGTAATAATTATTTAGAAAATATGAATATAAATATAAAATATAAAAATATAAACTTTTCATATCAATCCATTATTGCATCTTGTTTGTAGTTCTTGATTCAGATAGATGTCATTGATTAAAAATGTATATCATCTTTTGTACATTTTAAAGATTTTAAATTTTGAAGCTAACAATTATTAATTTTACATTTTTATTAAAATAAGAGATTTATTATTTTTCTAAAATATCTTTGGTTAAATTAAAATATTAAAAAAATCCATTCAGTACTTGATAGTATATTTTAGAATTATATATATATATATATATATATACATACATACAAAATCTAAAACATTTTAACATGAATTTTTTCAATAGTTTTTATTATTATTTATTATTATTATTATTATTATTATGTATTTATCTCAGATTATACAATGAAAAAATCTACCTCAATAACAACTATTTTCAACCAAATGTATAATGTTGTGAAGTGGATTTATTAGTATGTGACATCTTTGTTGTGAATGTTGTCTTAGTCAAAAAAAGGTTTATCAACACAAATAAATAACTCAGATTTAAATAAACAAGATCCGATACAAATGAACAATAAAATCCAATTTGTAAAATATTAAAATTTTAACTTCCTTATGAAAATATCAAAGTAGAACCACATTTTGTTTATGAAAAGTTCCACTCAACTATCAAGATCCTTCAAGAGATGTATTTGTAAACAGTATTCTGTACTCTTAAGATTTCAATATCCACTCTTTTTAAACACTTTATAATTGATTTCACAAAATATTAATCAGAAGAAAAACACCATTTAATTAATAAAAATAAAAATAAAAAAATGCTTCAAAAGTTTTAAAAAAGAAAGTACAGCATCATTTCTGTCACTACAATGGATTATTTAGAAAATAAAATCACATGTATGCAGTTCAGTTGGAAACAAAATCATTTTTAACAATAACAAGTAAGTTAGATTTTCCAGTGTTTTTTTTTTTTTTTTTTTTTTTTCGTCTTCTTCATCAATTCCCCCCCCCCTTTTTTTTCCTTTTTTTGAGGGGTAGGGGTAAGGGTTCTCCATTTTTAATAATGTAATGCCACCTTAAAAAAAATTGGTTTCCAACTTGGTTTGCAAAAAGAAAGCCACTTTATTATTCTATTGTATTCACCCGAACATGGCATTTTATTTGCTTAATTTCTTGCAATATTCCAGGTAAAGTTGGGCCTTAAATCAAGCAAAATATATGGCACATGATCCTGGATATAACCACCTCATTCTCACCGTAGCACAGGATTTCTTTCTTAAAATGCAAAACTCTTTGAAGCCAATAAACTGCAACCACTGGTGATGAGCACCTTGACCTCCATCAACCTTAAAACCATGAACATTTTTATCTCTCAGTGGTGTAGAAGAACAATGTTGCTTTCATCTTCCTTTTGTCTTTTTATTTTTTGTTTTTGAGTTTATTATTTTTTGGGGGATGTGAGGATGCACTATGTTGTATGCATTGTGACTTGTTATTCACATGAGTTGGAACACTTCAAAGATAAGTTTGTTTAACTAGGAAACTTGGAAACTTGTTCTGTAGTTTATGATCCATTCAAGCACACTTTTCAGTTAAGGTAGCCGACCTATTGTCACCACCCCCCCCCCCCCATTTCCAACATATAGGGTGTCCTATTTTGGTTAGTCCAGCAAATGGGTGTAACATTGATAATAAAAATAAAAAAAATTATTTCCATTGATTGGAAATAGGTCATGGGTTGGTTAAAACGATGTTTAGTTGTGAGCAATAAATAAAATTTACTGTACTTGGAATGGGTTTGAGTGAATCAATAAGTGGTAATTGTGGATTGGTTGGAGGAGGGGGGGGTGTTAAAGGGGTTATAATATCCACAAGGGTTTGTGAAAAGACCCTTTTTACTTACAAGTGTGTCAAGCTTGTCAGGGACAAAGCCAAAACACAGGACCACATGTGGGAAGTTTACTTGATTAGTAGGTGGAGGGTTAATTTCAGAGGACAATAGAGGTATGGAAAATGGATTGATTTGATAGGGAAGATCATTGTCTTGCTTTGTAGACCACCAGTTGTGGAATAATCTGAGATCCATCTCACACTATTTATGTTGACAGCAGCTACTCCAGGTACAACGCCTTTGAACTTGTGTACAACAAGCAGCTCCCCTTTCTACCCACAAAACAAAATCACCCAAAAACAGAAAGAAGAAAAAAGAAAAAAGAAAAAAAATTTAAACAACAGCAGCAACAACAACCAGCTTATCTTTACGTAAATAAAAATGATACTTTCCGGTTGAGATCAGGTTGGGCTAATTTGATGCGATTAACAGGATCCATGCATATCATAAAAATGTCCACAGATCACGCAAAACTGAGGAGCTTCCCATTCATCCAACCATCCATCAATTCAGCTTCAGAGTCAAGATAGAAATGACGGGAAACAGGACATGGGTTAAGACAGTGAGAGTCTGAAAAGAGACCCAATTGCAGCTCTGCAGCTTCCCTGCTTCAAAGAGGAAGAGATGATGAAGAAGAAGACGTTGAAGATGGCGAAGATGGCAGAGACAGCAGCAGCACCCTGCATCGGCACAATCTTCACTTGAGCTGTCATGTGATGAGTGTCTGAGAACTGGGTGACATTTTCTTTCAGCTTCTGCAGCAGCAGCAGCAGTCTCTGTAGCATTTCATCACTGATCTTGCTTGCCAAAGGGTGCCCCTCAATATCATCTCATGATGCCCAGGAGCACTTGCAAGAAAGCCTAAGCCTCAGCTGGTTTGCTTGTGCAGCTCCTTTCACTGATTCTCTGTGAGTAGGAGTGCGAGGAGGAGCTCATTAATCCGTGACCACTCACTGATGGGAAGCAAAACACCATCGTGAGTGCGGTTGGGCAATGGACGTCTGATCCTCTGCACTGGCGCAGAGGTGGTGGTTGTCATGTGGCAGCCAGGTGGGTGTGAAGAGGATGGTATGTGTGAAGGTGAGAGAGAGGGAGAGGAGAAGGTGAGAAAAGAGAGAGAGAGCGAGAGAGAGAGAGAGAGAGAGAGAGAGAGAGACTGGTTTCGCTGTACTGCCCTCACTCACCATCTGTAGCATTCAGTTGCGTTTTTGATTAATAACGGGGTTGGTAGAAACCAGTGCAGATGACTGGAACCTTTTTGCGGGCTCTCTGTGTCTTGAGTTTCAGTCGTTCTTTTCTTTGTTTTGAAAGTTCTCTTTTTCTCTCTCGATCTTGCTTTCGCTTTCGATCCTTCAATCGACCTCTGATAATCTCGTTTGGACTTAAGCTTGGTGATGCCAGGACTTTAAACATAGATTGTGACAATCCTACTGTACTGGCATTTTGAGAAAGCATTTTGGTGTTGTGTTGGCCTTAGCTGTGCTGAATGCACAACGAGTTGCAGCTTTAGTTCTTTATCGCAGGAGTTAATGTTAGCACGCATTTGGATTCCTCAGGGCTTTAGAGGTTTTTGTGAAGGCCCTGATCGGATGCATCTTGATGGAGGACATTGCATCGGTCGGTACTGGTTGCGAGGGGATTCGAGCGGATCTCGCATCTGGGTATGTCTCCTCTCTAAACTTCTATTCTCGCAAGTGAGAGGATGTGAACTCATTGTTAGTTGGATACCTAATGGTATTGGCCTCGGTTGATGCGAGTGCCCTTGCGGAGGATTGAGGTTCATGGATTTTTCCTTAGTCTTGGACGCGTTGAACAAACGTTGTTCACCTTTGGCACATTTCTTGCTGACTACAATCAGAGTTTTGTAAGGATTCTTTGCATGTACCATCCTTTAAACTTTCCAACCAACCTCAAACAGTAACCGAATTTTTGAATGTCATCTTCCGGCATAACCGAGCTGCATACTGTCCTATAGCGTGGGGGTGTCGCAACTACATCGTGCGCAAAGACTGAGTGTGATCATTTTTGGGTAGAGCAGACCTTGTGCAATATTGCGCTTGAAGGTAGGCTAACAGTGTTGCTGAGTAATCCTTTCGTGACGCTTCCGGATCAAGGCTATGAACATGGTCAACATCTAGAATCTTCAAGAGCAATACTTGCAAGACTTCGTCATCCTTTCTACATTTTGAGCTCAACTGTTCTAGGTGTTAGCCTAACTCATTCCCACTGCAACACCATTTTGGCAGTTGTAGAGTATGTACATTTGGGAATGGCTTACAAAATCTGTTTCTTGAATACGGATCCATAGTAGTCCTCAAGCTGTAATCAGAATCCACACTACTGCTTTAGTTTTGGATATATTTCTCTTTGTCGATGCAGCACTTTTGGTAGAAGAGTTTTTTAACAAGTGTTGCACCCAAGAATGCCAGGGCAAAATGGAGCAGAAACCACCCATTTTAAGGAGTTGACAAATACGTGTTCTCAACATTAATGTAGAAACCGCCAATATGTTGAAAAGGAGCAGATGCATAATGACCTCCGCACCAACAACTATGCTATGAAGCCTGTGGGAATTGATCATTTCGGGTATGAAGGGACAAGGTATACTGTTTTGCAACTGCATTTGTTCGTGGCAACCTGTACGAGTAGTTCATGGTGATGGTCATGTTCGAAGCTTAAATCGGCCTATCACTGTGGGAGAATTCTTAAAACGCCATCCTCATCACTTCGTCTGTAAGCCCACGGCAGATGGACCTCTTTACCACAGCGGCATGTTACCCTTGGACATGGAGCTTGAGGAGGGCAATATATATCTTCTCCTTCCCCTCCCCCGGTTACTCCCCCACCTCGCCAGCACGTTTCCTGACCCTCTTCCTTGCCCATGCTTCTCTAACCGAGAAGCCATGTATTTAAGCTCAAATCCAGCTCACATGCATGAGGGGAATCATGCAGAACTCAAGACTTTAAGTGAAGAACATTCGATAGGGAGGAATTGGTCCATTGTCAAGAGTCACGGCCAGTTCCTGGTGATCGCTACCAAAGTACGGAATCTTAGGCACCGAGTAGCCATTTCGAAGCCCATTAGGTCGTTGATTCGTATGAGCCAAAGAATACTCCCTGAGAGACTACTGCTTCGATCATCTTTTCACAAACTGAAGAATGAACACTCGAAGTCATCTTCATCCTCATCAGTTGTTGGGAAATCTGTGCAATACTGCACACGGAATCGGTGGAGGCCAGGCTTGGAGTGCATATCTGAGGTTGGCTCGGTCACGGGTTTGCTGCGAGACTGAGATCAGTGGCTAATGACCAATTTGGTTGTTGGTGGAAATTGTTGGAACAATAAGGTTTGCGATCGTCGTGTAATCAAACTTACGATCCAAGGTGTGTTTACGACTGGAACCTTCATCCCGACAACGATAATTGCCGTGGCCAAGACGATATGCGATCAACAGCTTATACTGAATTATCTGAACTCTTCATTTTTTGCAAATCTAGTGAATGCAGTCAAGTGATAATTATTGGCACAATTAACAGATGAACGATGGAGGTCAAAACACATCAGTTTCGAAGCTCCGGGCACCAAGTCTACAGCATCTTGGTTGTTAGTTAATGAAGGAAAATAGGTTGAGAGACGGGATCGAACTTTTCCTGCTACAATCATTGAAATATCCGACGACTGTGAGATATCTGAGTTGAACTGGTCACCTTGAATACTATTTGAAAACACGTCATGGGGAGATGTGGATTTCTCCTTCTCTACTAAAGTGGACAGAATCCTCTTCTCCAATGGAGATTCTACAAGCTCACAAATGATCAACCATAAACATACCATAGGTACACTTTTTTCTTTTTCTTTCGACACTCTTTGTATCTACAAGTATTGAAACCATGAAACATTTCGACGTTTGAATTCCTTGTACGTAGAAAAATCAGTCCAGGGATGGTATTGACAATTTGACTCTCCCTCACTTTTTCAATGCCGCCTCTGTTTCCACCAACTGAAGAACTCGTGTTTGTACCCACAAGTGACCTCTCCTGGTGAAGCACTGAAATTTTCCATCCTTTGCTTTCTTTGTAAGGTCCTTCGCATTGTAATAAACAATACCTGTGCGTTGTCTTCTGTGTCTTAGTCTATTGAAATCTCTGTTGGCCTCACACCTCCTCTTGGCATGGCCCTCAGCTAAATAGTTCTAATCCTGTGGGAGAGAGACAAAGTAAACCACAAGCCTTGAGGAAATACTGTACATAAACAAACACACAGCCTGAAATCAATTTCCTGAATTAAAACCATAGTTCCCATCCCTCCCTTAAATCTCTCCACAGGAAGTCCTAAAAAATCCAAAATCCCACCATTGAGCTCTAAGCAAAGCCTTCCAGGCTTGACTCGGCTGCAGTCATTGCGTTCAAACTCAAATTGACTTCTTCCTCATTTACAACACCCTTTATCTACAATTTGTGGGTAAGTTTTAACACACACACACACACACACATATATAGACTAATTGTGCATTGTAAACAAGAATACTTGTGATTTGAACGCAGTTTCCAGCATAAAAATTTAGTGTGGTAATGAAGGAGCTTAATGGTGAGATTCTTAATTGTTAAGTTTGGACACCACATTACATTTTTAGAGAGTTGGCATTTATCCACTGTGACTTGGATAAACACCAATATTACACACAAGAAGTGAGCGTGGCATTTTAAGTATGCACATTCCGTTGGTTAAAAGACCGATATTTTATGCTGTGAAGGATACTAGGAATTTGTGAACAAATATGATAGAACTCTCAAAGGATAATAACAAAGTAATGAAATAAAGTAAAATATGGGTTTGCTCGTTTATAAAATCTTTGATTGAAACCATCATGAGAAATTACATGAAAAGATTCCAGCAGAGGAGACAAGACTTTTCAATAATTACATGGCCAATGATAATGCTTATAAAATAGCTTTGTTATAAGACAAAGAAACAAATAAGCATTATCATTGGCCAAACATGTGAACATGGATGAACATGGATACGAGGGAACATGGGAATGAATGGATAAGAATGTCAAAAATTGATGTGCCTAATTGCACAAGTTTTTGGTATATATATATATATATATATATATTAAATTCAGATAATATTTTAATGAATATAAATATATATATATATAAATCCATTTAAATAAAAAATTATCTTTTTAATTATATTTTAGATAGAAATTGATATATATATATATATATATATATATATATCATAAATTTATGGAATATTCTATTAGACTTGTTTATTGGTCTAAAACAAGTTGTGCAAAGTTGGATTATTGAGTTTAACTTTTAAAGATTTTTAGTAAAAATATATGCTATAAATTTAAATGTATTATAAGATTATATCAACCAAAGATAAGATGCCAACTTGCTTGTTGCTAACCAATGTAGCTTTTTTCAACTTGTGCTAAGATTTTGTTTGTTCATTCTCCTTTTTTTAAGATTATATAGATATCTGTAAATGAGAATGAAATGAATATGATGTTTAAATAATTTAAAATTGATGGAAACATGACATGTACCATTAGGTTTTATTTAATTCTTTCTTTACAGACAACATCTTTAAATCCATGTTTGCACTTAAAACTCATCATTTATTATATCTATATAAACAATGGCTCGTGACTACAAACAATTGCAAAATTGTTTGTTAATCCATAAAATTACTACTAAAATATATAATAATCAATATTCTTTGCCTCAATTATTTTTGAATTAAGCCCTTTACTATTTTTATTCTTAAGAGCTTCAATACAATATATATATATATATATATATATATATATACATACATACATACATACATACATAACTTCTCTTGATTTTTTTAAATCATATTAAACTTATTTTAATACAAAGGTGACAAAATTCTAATTTCCCCAATAAAAGCATAATCAAAGATATGATTGAAATTATTTTTTAATTAATCCATTCATTATTTTCTTGAATCAAACAATCTCTCCAACTTGCAAATATTTTCCCATGTTTATCAAATTGTTAGACACCTTGTTTTACACAAAACAAGATGTTGCAACAATTTGATGTGTTTTGTGTAAATGCAATCAACATTAGCTTCTACATCTCAAATGTCATTTATGTAAAATCTCTTCCTTGTCTATCAAAACTATAAACCTCAACCTCCCACACAAAAAACAAACCAATCAATCAACAAACTACAAAAATCTTGACATAAAAATATTGGAGGACGAAAAATCCAAAGTGGGGGGGGGGAGGGATATTTCAAGAGGGGGGAATGCGAAGGACAAGAAGTGAGCCAAAGAAAAAGCGTGACGAGGGAACGCGAGGCGAGACGTGGCGTGAAGAATGTTCCCCATTGGGATCGCGTCCCCCGCGGGGACCTCGTGGGGGTCGGAAAGCGTAGACGCGGCCGTGAAATCCAGGAGCCCCTCCGCGCGTCGCTCGCTTTAGCCTCCGAATTCCACAGGTCCAGTGGATGGGCAACGCACCCAACCCCCTTCCCTTTGTTCCCGTTACTCGTGCTGGCCACTTCACCGTCGCGCTTTCCCACTCGCCTGACATCGCTTGTGCTACCTCCCTCTTTCCCGGCCACAGTTTCCTCGTTTGTCATCCAGGTATTTTGAGATTCTATCCATTCGTCGCAGTACAAGCGCTCTCGTGGGTTTCCACTTCCTGGTACCATTCCTGCGGTTTTCTTCTCAAGTGAACTCGTTCGTTCGTGTATATTTAGCTTCCTTTTAATGATGTTGCTGTATTCTTCGATGTCTTGTCATGACTATGAAACTGATTGATGACTGCTCTATGGGGACGATAGTTCTGGTTGTGAGCCTCTGAAGATTCGATCCCAGTTTAGTACAAATGCTGAACCCTTGCGAAATTCAGGGCCTAGTTTGGGCGTATAGCGTGAACTCCAAATAGAGGTTCTACAGTTGCTTGGCTCGGTTTGTGTTCTCCCTGGTTTATGTATTTGGTGAGCTTTGAATTCTTCGTGAAAGAGTAGAGGTTTGTTGTGTTTCTAGAAGTGACTGATTTCGGATCGAGCTTATTGTCACCACCACTCAACAATGAGGGGGCTGTTAAAACTCTCGCGTGGAGTGCAGCCAGTGAGAATTGTTAACGAGAATGGCGAGGTGCTCCACTTTCCGCCACTGACCGCAGTGGAGGATGTACTCCAATCCTACCCTCTCCATTTCATATGTCAACCTGATCTTAACAGTTGCTCCGATAGTCTCAGCGACCAAATGCTACCGTCCGACGCTGAGCTTCAAAGCGGGAACATCTATTTTCTCCTCCCACTGTCAAGATCAGTTAATCATGGTTCGCAATCGCCAGCATCGCAATGCCAACATCGCACCGATATTGGCTTCGCAGCGCCAGCAGATGTCGAGAAGTCAGCGCAACCGAGTTCGAAGGAGCACAGCCTCAATCCTCGTAAATTGCAGCTTAAGATACCCAGCTGTCTGATAAGAGTTCGCAGGCTAGGCTTGCAGCTTCGTCAGACCAGACGTAGATCAAGAATGAAAGTGCTGCCAGAACCAAATGCGCAAAGCACAGGTAGAGGTAAAGTGAAGCCAATTTCGTCAGGACCAACAAGGAGAAATCACTTGTGGCGTCTGCGATTGTGGGGCATGAGCGAGGAAGAGGAACTGGAACTCGCGTTAAAACAGCTCGAGCATCATGGATACATGTGCAAGCGGGAGTCCTCTGTTGGTGCAAGGTTGCCTGCAAGGTCCCCCGCGACATCTCGACCCGCTGAGCGGAAACCTTCAAAATCCTCAAGGTAGGTTTTTCTTCTACTCGGTGGATCCATGCACTCGTTTTTCAGTCAGGTTTTGCGAAGTTCGCTGCTGATGGATAAAGTTTGTAACCAGAATCTGTAAATTTCCTGCACCACAACTTGTTAAGCAATTCACCTGGTCGTCAACCTAGGAAGGCTTTCGTTTTTCATAAAAGAGCTATTTGAAATTTATTTTGAATATGGCAATCACGTTCTCCAGGATTAAAGCGGACGCCGAAACAGACTGGAACAGTGCAACAGTTGGAGTACCTACCATGATAGTGGTTTGTTGAGAGTGGACCACCAAAGTGCATCGAGCTGCAAGTCACGCAAGCAGTTGTTGCATGCATCAAACCAGTTGCGGTCAAACCAATTTCAGCTAAGGGACATCAATAGTTTTATTCGATGGAGTGAAATCACAGAAATCGCGATCCGATGTCTTGTCAGCCTTTCTAATTTCAAAAAATAGTAAGCAGATCGGTAGAAAAAATCTCGGAGACTCTAGGGAACTACTACTCTATTCAGACAACTAGGCGTTGGCACTTGCATTTGCTTTCTTTCCACAAGCAAAGCCACTTGAATATACATTTCATCGCTCAGTCAAAGAATGACGAGGCACCTTTGTAAAGATATATTTACCATTGTTTGAAATCAACACACTGGTGTACAATTCAGTTGTGACCACAGATTTGTCGCCCAGCATGCAGAATATTTCATCCATTCTAGTACTTGAGCACCTTCCGAAGAGGACCCACCTTTCAATTTGATAATGAACATTCCCCTAGATAATGAAGCCCTCCCTCTACTCACGTCTCCACTCTACTAAAGCGATTGTCTGGAATTCCCGGTGAGGGTTTCAGAATGCTCCAACGTCTATTTCATGACTCGGAATAATCACTTAAAATCTAGAGGGGAATGTCGAAAAAAAAAACAAAACAAAAACAAACAAACAAACAAACAAACAAAGACTCTCACAACTAAGACAGAAGATGTTTTCAATCGGCACTTGCTTTGACCATTTCACAAATCTTTCAGAAACTGGCAAAATTACATGACGATGGAGCAGAAAAACGGAGCTCATTCAGTCACCACCGCCTCGACTTCAGTATCACACAGCTGTTTTTTTTTTTTTTATTGTGCTAACTGCTATCTCCCAGGCTCAAGAAGCTAACACGAAAATATTAGTCTACAAATCGAAGTGATAATTGACCAACAGTTCAGATGACAATCACTAAAACAATTAAGAAATCCGCGCGGCAATCATAACAGACGGAAGCCAAAACGTTATGAACCACAGACTGTGCAAGCGTGAACTGGAAGATTGAAGCAAAAGCTGCATTCTAGAGTATCGAGCCACTCTCATCGCTTTGGACAAATATTTGTGCCTGATGAACCCCCCTGCCTTGAGGAGGCTACCCACTTGCAGTTGCAAGTATTTCAAATTCTATATTATATCATGACAATACACCAATGTTACAAGTTTTTCAACAAGTCTGACATTAGTGAGGTTGAAAAGTACAAAAATAACAACAACATTCTATTACATATGAATATTAGCAACATAGAAGCTAATCAACACAAACAACAAAAGGGAGGTGTCTACCTAGCAAAACTACTATGTGCACACCTCCCTTTATTTATTTGCATTGTTTAGCTTTTTGTATTGGTGATGTTTTGTGTTCTAAATTATTTTTATACCTTTTTAGTTTCATTAGTGTCTAGTTTGTTAATTCTTTTGTAGTAGTGGTGTATTGAAAGTATGGCACAATGGAATATCCGTGCAATAAAAAATAAAAAATAAAAAATGTGTCTACATAGTAAAAGAGAGGTGTCTACATAACAACTTCTTATTTTAGAGGATTCACAAGTGCTTATTCTAGGGTTGGTCTTGCTTCTTTGCTTCATTCGTTGATTAATACTTTTTTAAGTACTTCATCTTATAATTTTTATTAAAACAAGTCTTTTTTTTACTTTTTAGTATGTACATTGGTATTATTTTTGAAGAAACAAAAATTGCTACAACCAAATGTTCAATAAGACAACTTTCTAATTCAAGTAGCATAAAATTTATTGTGTAAATTCAAAAACAAATCTACATATAATATTTTGATTTTATTGTCATTATTTTCTACAACACCAAAAGTCCAAAAATAATCCTTTGAAGTTAAATTGCCGTGGCTAATACTCTTTACCAATGAATTTTGTACAAAACTATTATATTCCATTAAAAAAATACTTTATAAAAGAATATCATACTAATAGGGACAAAATACTAAGATAAATCATCATTGTATAATGTGAAGTCTTTTTTTTGGTTGTGCAGACTATTTTACATTGTTAGAAACATATAAGCCTTATCTTGAATAAATATTATAACATTTTTGGATTAAACTCCACAAAAATCTACAATAAAGGAACAATTTCTTTGTCTTATCTCAAGCATGATTTCACTCAATCTTGAAATGCACCATTAAAAATAAGAATGAATAAATAATCATATGTGAAAAACGTTTGAAGTAGAATCTTAATCATAAATGCTACTAATATCTAATGATTATGCATAATCCTTATAGTTTGAAGGTAACATAGAAAGTTTTATTTTCTATAAAATTATCTATATATATACATACATACATACATACATATGTGTATGAGTGTGGATTTTTATTATATAGAAATGGGCATGTTAAAAGTTGCAGCTCATCTTTCAAATTCAAACATAATAATTAAAAAGTAAATTGAAAATAGCTAAACAAAAAATATCATAAACATGAATAATAAAAATTATATATATATATGTGTGAATAATAATTTACAAATGAAATAATGTTAATATTAAGTTTAAATACACATTCTTATTTGAAATGTTGCTTTTAAAATCTTAACCCGGGCTGCCAAAGATTGGGATTAGGGCTTGGTTGATGGGGCTAGGCTGGTGGGCCCTGCCGAGATTGGGCAGGCTGCCCGACTGGTGTCGGGCAGAGTTGGCGGCGTGCCTATCCAAGCAAAGTAGGCAGCCTGGGCAGTGGATGCCAAAGTTGGAACTAGGATGAAATTCATGAATTCATTCATCCATGGGACCCAGACTGAAAGATAGTCGGTAAAGTGTAGAGAGCTACGTATCTATTATAGGTCTTGTGATGTTTAGGAATCTGAAGTGACCATTTGCAATACCCGAAGAAAAATTAGTTTAGACGTTTCAGCGGACCATCTACAGTGAGGTGATGTTGTGGGTGTTTCTCAAGTGAGAACCCTGTTTTTCTAACGGATTTTCTAAAGCTCGTAAACGCTACATGACCTGCTCAGACTGTCGACGTATCCATCCTGACAAACAGCTCGCACGCAATTATCTTCTGTCTTAATGCAAAAAAAATGGTGCAAGCTCCATTCTTCCCAGCAAGGAATCAGATATATCTGAAAATGTGTTATGTGAATCCAAATTTTGGATAATAGCATCAACAGAAATCTTTTTCAAAATGTGATTGCCCATCGAATTGCATATACCATTACCTTCGCCAAGTGCGCCAGATTGAATCTAGCTTTAGTCTCCTAAACCTAAAGGGTTTTAGATTAAAATCTGATCTGAAACGTAATTACCTCCGACAATGAGCATCGCCTACACCAGATACCAATTTGGCAACAACTCGATACTAAACTGTAGTTTAAATGATAGAGTTGTTTACTTAAGCACCTCCAACAACTGAATGTGCACCTGAGCAACAAACGAATTCCATCGGAACACACCGGTTAAACAATCGATCTCTAAAACCAAAGATGTGAAGCCACCCCCGCGATTCCGAAATATGCTATTGCAACGAAAATGTGAGCTTGATCAATTCTTTCATTGAACACTGTGGAGAAAATCAGAATTGCGACTCATTTACCTTCACGAGAAGCCCATTTTGTTCACAACAAGTAGACTAGCACAACCACAAGTGCGTAAAGCCTGAACCTAAAGGTGCCTACAACACAAATCCTCGCCAGCTCCTCCTTTGAATCAACTCATGAGGTCGAACGTTAGCAACGAATTAATAACTGACACCTAACATTTGCCACAACTGCTAATCAATGTATCACTTGCGCAGAAACCAGATGACTACTTCTGCTACTAACAGAAACAAGATTCGCTACACCCAGAATAAAACACCCAATTGAATGACCCCGCTCCAAACGAAAGGGTCGTGGTATTAACACACAATGCCACCGCAAGGCCTAAACACGCTGGACATTCCTGGCCGCCCCAAACCCCCTTGAGCGATGCGCCAGAGCAATTACACGAAGAGGAGGGACAACGACAAAGTGGGGAGCATCGACCTCGACTGCAACGTGCAGAGCGGAGCTCGACGCGGAGGTGGGATACCGCCACCTTCATGGCACCAACACCGTTGTCGTGGCGTTCTGTATGGCGTCGGAAATCACCATACGCAAGCAACAACTGATCACATGAAACGCAAGATGGTCTTGTCTCTCTCCGGTCTAAGTTATAATCGCAAGCAGTGAGTGGTCAAAAAATGCAGACGCTCGTTGCATTCGCCGAGGAACGCCACCGCCTCCAGGTCATGCTGCAACGACCCAGCAGCTGAGGCCAACGACGACATCGTCGATCGTCTTGTGGAGCAACGAAATCGTCCAACGTATTCTGAATATTGACTTCCAAATATTTATTCAAAACCAAGCGTATTATACTAAAATATTTTTTAGAAATATAATTATAAGGATGTGTTGATTTTATACTTTAATTAATTGGATTGTAAGTTTTAGTAGCTCAGACAACAAGTCTTTACATTTTTTTCTAGCAACACATCTCAAGAAACATTGATAATAATTCTTTGGTTTTTGCAAGTGATCAACTAAACAATTTGGAATCCTAACAGTTAATGATTCATTTAAATGCATACAATATAGAATCCACTAGGAAACATTAAATGGATTATCTGAGGCTTGTGGTCACTACTATCTCTCCAGTATAAATGTTGTGTAATTCAAACATAAAACGAAATTCTTGGGCCTACTTCAAAAGATGACCAATGCAAATTATTCTCCATGTCTCATATCCAAATTTCATGTAATGTCTTTGTTGAATATGCAATCCAAAGAGCATTGTCTTACACACATGCAAATAAATTTTATTTATCTTTTCTTCATATTGGGCCATAAATCTCTCATAAGGTAAATTCTCAAATCAAATTGAAGTTATATCTTCTACAAAAAAAATATTTTTAAAAACCAGTTGTACTATTATGTCATTATCAAAATATTTACAGTTCAAAAGGTAATTGTAATTTTAATTTTAATTTTTTTTGGATATTTTTGCATGAAATTACACGTTAATTTTTTTTTTCTGTATTATCATTTTAACTTTTTCATTTTAAAAAGGTGATAATTTTTTTTTAAAAAAATTGCTCAAAAAAAATGAAGACATGACAGAAAATCAATTAATAATTTTCTCATTTCAATTTTGAATTCATCAAATATTAGATTGAAGTATCTTAATCCAAGAGCTTAAATTCATGTGTGTAGATCATTTAATAATTCTAAAACGTAAGGCAAGTACAATTTAAAATGCAGTTCTTTCAATGAAGCTAAGTCTAAATCCAAAGGCGGTCTTGCTTGTGTGTGTGTTTTTTAAAACTAAGTTAGTTAACATAACAACAGCAATATGATTCTCATTCCATTACATATGAGACTATTGAGAATACATAGATTTACTTACTTCCAATGTGTTTGTTTGTTATTTTCTTTATTCTTTGAAATATATATATATATATATATATATTCATATATATCTTTTATTAGTATAAAATAAAATAGAGGATTTAATCTGATATCATGTATTACAGTCTTTTATTTTTTTCTTTCAACCCCCCCCCCCCACACACACATAAACTCTATATTTGACTCATATCAATAACACAATTGCCAATTAGCAGTTTTTATATTTTATTTTAGCTCCTTTCGTGTACCAACAACTCAAATCTGTGCTATTTATCAAAACATTTAATATGCATAATTACACTACAACTTGTATGAAGTATTTAGGGAATGATTTAAAAAACTAGTTTGTATACATGACAACCAAAATAATACATCATGTATTTTTATAACAGTATTTGAAAAACAATCTACTATAAATAAATGATTTATAACATGCCTAGGCATATATAACAGAATGTTATTGAATGATGGATTATATATATATATATATATATATATATATCTTCTGGTTCATTTTCAGATCTTATGAACTATGATAGAAGCATCAAAGAATTCATAAATTGATGTAACTAGGATTATGACTTTATTGTTTGTGACCCATTCAAAGATTTGAATTCGTGAGGCAAATGTGTTTATTATGGAGTTTTTAAAATTCCAACTAAAAAAAAAATAACATGGCTTCTCTATTATTCTAGATTATTATTACTATCCCAAGGGAGGCAATGAAATAATGAAATGATGGTGTGTAGACAACATGGATGTCAAATAGTGTGGTGGTCACACCACCAAATACAACTAAGTCACAAATCAAAGAAAGGTGGCATTGAAACTTAGTTTGCCTCTAATGTTGAACAAACTTATTGGCAATATCAAACCCAGAAATCTTAAAATGTATCAAATAAGAACCCATAAATCATGATATTTGATTGAATATTGATGTCAAGAGCTCTTTGTATTTGAAAAAAACACCAGTTGTAAGGAACATCAGCTACAATTTAGTGAGAGCATGTTGCTTTTTCACACTTTCATGAAAACATGCACATGAAATAGAAACTATTATTTTATCCATAATTGTAAGAAAAGTGGCTCACTGCATGCAATCCCACAACATTACACATAGCAATCACCCAACACATGCAAGAATATATTTATATGCATAGATGTATAGACTGATTACAAAATAATTGCATCACGTACACTACAGCCACCAGGGAGGATACCTCAAATTGTACAAAAAAATGAGTATGATCTGTACATACATACATTCATTCATACATACATGTGTGATATGATTTGTCAATTTGTTTGATTACTACCATCTTTTGTTTCTGTATGATTTTTTTTAATGCTGAAATTGTTGCAGGGGAAGGAAAGATAGAAGTAAAAAATAAAAAAATGATGGGAGGTTTGTGACTGTTTTACTTACAATTCATTGTCAATCCATGTGTTTCAACTGCATCACCTTTGCAATTTGAAAATCAAATTTAAAATGAAGTTTGTACATTTTACTTACTTTGAATTAGGTGATTAAATTATATGTTAGTAGCAGAAAATACAAAATAAATAAGATCCACTAATTCAAGTAGATTCAAGTGTAATAACATTTTAATTCAATCTGAATTATATATATATATATATATATATATAGATGTTTGTGTGTGTGTGTGTGTGTGTGTATGTGTGTATACACATATATACACACACAACATATTTTTAAGTATATGATTTTTAAGTATATAATAGATAAAAAGGTGCATTTATTATAATAGAACACACAACATATTTTTAAGTATATAATAGATAAAGTATGAAATATACAAATCACAAAAATAAATGATTTTTTAAAATTGAATTGTTAAATACTCCACAACTTTTGATTTTAAAGCTTTAAAAAATTATAATAATACAAATTTAACATTGAAATTAACATGATATTAACAAATTACATGTGCATATTCCATCAACATGTTTTGCAAACATACCTGAGCAGAGTGCTAAGCCATCAAAATATTTTTTTTATATATTTTTTAATGTTCTTAATATAGTTACAAATCAACTTGTATTTCTTGAATTATATATATATATATATATATATATATATATTGTAAAACATAGACATACAAACATTATCTATTTGTCTGTTAATCATTTACACACAACTATCCAAACTTTTCAGCAAATCAAGACAAGTCACTCAATGGATTTGGAGTGCATGGACTGTTTTGTAACATTTGTTTTGTAGCATTTTATTTCAACTAATTTAATCTCAATTTGTTTGTTTGTTTGTTTTTGTGCAAGAGCATAATTGCATGTTCCAAAATACCCCCCATGCAACAAGATTTATTTATTTATTTTATTGATTAATTTTTAGAACCTATTGGATGACACATTTTCTTACCAATTCCAAAATCTTGCAACGAAGTCTGAAAATCATTGTATTGTTTTTGTGAGCTTCATGTAATGATCCATTCCCTGCAAAATGGAATATAATAAAAGATTTTTGCAACATGCTTTTGTGCGATATGCAAGAAGCATGAAACGGGGATGCTTCGAAGTTTAAATAAGGAAAAAAATATATAGCAAATAATATTTTTTTGCATGAATTGGATAAAGCAACGAAAAAAGGAACTAAATACCCAAAAAATCCAGAACTGTTGCAAAGTCGAAATCGAAGATGATGTGAACCAGATCTTCGCATCCCCGCTGATTTCTATATCTTCTATGATTCTCTTAGATACGAAGTTAGATCTGACGTGCCCTTGAGCCGAGGACACGTCTGTATCTAACAACAAGACACGTACAACCAACAAATACTTACTATCTACGAAAAGGAAAAGTTGCATCTTCGAGTGACGCGACTCAGAAGATCAGGGAAATCTAAGAATCGGGGATGCCCCGCAAGAGAAGGCCGACTCAGAGAAGAGAGCGAAATAACATAACTAATGGTTGTCCGGCCTGGGAAATCCAGCATCCGGAGTAGATATTCCAAGGTATGGGAAGAAATGGCGGCTTTATCTAGGAAAAAGAAAGATGGAAGGGGAGGGTATGAGATTACAGAGGGATTGGGCTTGGGAGGTGACCGGAACGAAAGCCAGAGGGGAAGCGAGCGAGCGAGGAGGAGGAGAGAGAGAGGGAGAGAGAGGGAGAGAGGGAGAGGGAGAGAGAGACGAGAAGGTTGCAGGCCCCTCTGCAACCCTAGCTTACATCGCCATTTCTGTGAGGACTCATATTCGGAGGACATCGGGGAAGTGCTATCTCCACGGTTGTACGGAGGAACGGCCACCGAGGGAGGAGGCTACAGACGAAATTTGGTGGAATTCGGGGAAGGGACGCAATTGTGAGTCGGGGTTGCGTGAGTTGCAGAGTGGAAGAGGGGGAGAGAGGGGGAGAGGGAGAGCGAGAGATAGATAGATAGATAGAGAGAGAGAGAGAGAGAGAGAGAGAGAGGAAGAGAAGAGAGGGTTGGCGAGGGTAGAGGAGCGTGCGGGAGAGTAGAGATCGTGAGGCGGGAGCTTGCGGGGGGTGGCGTGAGGTCGGAGGTCACACCCGGATGTTGAGGAGCTTCGTATGGTCACGTTGATCGAAGGGTAAAGGTTTGGTTGGGAGGAGGCAAGTGGAAAGAGGGTTGATCTTTGTAGGGTTTGAGAGGAGGAAAGTGGGAAAGAGCAAGGGTGGGGAGATATCCTGAAGACAGGTAGCGAAGACAGGAACGGCTGTGTGCGAAGTAGGGGAGGCTTTTGGAGTCAGGAGGTGACTGCGGAACGGGGAGTGGCGAATAGGGCAGGTGCTTCAGTGACTCACTGTGAGTCACTTGCAGATTCTTCAGGGCGCAGCATGTGACTCGTCGCCGGGTGCTTACCAAAGAAAGAATTTGTACAGAATAAGAGAGACACAACGGCGTCGTCTTCGATGGAACCTCGCGTTGGCAACAAGTATCGTCTTGGTCGGAAAATTGGAAGTGGTTCCTTTGGGGAGATCTACTTAGGTGAGTTTTAAGAGCACCCTGAGATGTTCAAGCGATGAAAGGCGTGCCATATCCTACTCAATACTCTATTAGCATGTGTAACCTGAGCTATGGCTTCAAATACTTAGTTTGTCGCAGTGATGTCGGGGAGAGCAATTTGCACGTCCGTGTTTTTTGGTCCGAATCGATGCCTTTTTGCAGCGATTCTTCACATTCTTCCAGATCTGATTAGCCGTGCACCTTGTTGTATCGATATTCTTAGAAGCCTCAGCACGTTCTCGTTTTCTACGAGTGCAGTGTGTTCATTTCTTGCTTTCAGCTGTACGGTTGCCTTCTGGTATTCACGTCAAGGTTAGACAGGTAGTTTTCTGGACAGCCAAGTGCCATTCATCGTTACTAACATGTCATGGTTGCAGGAACCAACATCCAGACCAATGAAGAGGTCGGAATCAAGCTGGTACGTAAACTAGTCATCACCATAGAATCTCGCTATGTGTTTTCATGTCTGACCGGACTCCTTTTTTTTTTTTTTTTTTTTTTTTTTTTTTTTTTTCTTCTTCTTCTTCTTTTTCTTCTTTTCTTTTCTTTCTTGATGAATGCGCCTACGCTCTACGTTCTGTAATCATGTACGTTTCCAATTATAAGCCGGAATGTACCGAGCACTGTGTTATGTCTACATTCCTGTCGAAGTCTTCACCGTATCGTACCGGTTGATAATTTTTGCTTTGGAATAGAAAGATATGTTGTTCCTAGTTACTGTGATATTGCCGAGGTTGTCTTGACTGGTATATCATATCATGGAACGATGTTTCGAAATCCAATTACTGCCATTCTCTAAAGAATAGCGGATTAGGTTTTGAATCTCGGGCAGTTGTTACTCTAGTGTCTTGATCTCGCTCGTTGTAGTAAAAACTCCGTTTTCATGAAGTTTTCAAGGCTGACAAATCTATCTTGATACTTTGCAGGAGAGCATCAAGACAAAGCATCCTCAGTTGCTCTACGAGTCCAAGTTGTATCGAATCCTTCAGGGAGGAAGTAAGAGTTGCACATTTTTGTACTTGTAGCTACAGGATTAGATTTTTTGATTTCATTGCGTCATTTGTCTAATGAATAAGCGTGTCATCTTTTTGAGTGAGTGCAAATGAGGAATAGTAAATGAGTGTCACTGCCTGCTATAATATTAGGTTCTTGTTTATGTCCATACTTTCCATGAACTGTGGTAGTTAATTTGTTTGATTTTTTTTTTTCAATAGTTGTGACTTTCTATGAGCCCTGTATGTATATTTATAATATTTTCTGTTAGGATGGTTTTGCAATCATGCCTTGTTCAAATTTTTCTGCGATAATTGTCCATCACGATTTCAATGATTGTGTTATTAACTGTTTTGTGCTCTTTATAGCCGGGATTCCGAATATAAGATGGTTTGGAATCGAGGGAGACTACAACGTATTGGTTCTTGATCTTCTGGGACCAAGTCTTGAAGATCTCTTCAACTTTTGCAGTCGGAAGTTTTCCTTGAAGACGGTCCTCATGCTCGCAGATCAACTGGTATGAAAATTTTTGACATATTTCAATTTTCCCTGCCTATTCTAGTTCCTGTGAATCAATTATTGAATAGTCTAGTGATATACGTCCCAAGCAATAACAGATCTTGGAAATACTTGTTGGGCGACCGATTTGCTATTTTCCGTCGTTGCTGTCGTGGAATAGTGAACAAATGGCGTCTTTTTAGACGACCGGGTGCTTTAGAATTGCATTGTACTCCTCATTGTTGATAGGTCTGTCTGGTTCTTAACCTTAGTAATCTGTACCATCCAGTTATGTATCTGTCTGTGCCATGCTGAATTTTATATGTTTTCCGCTTTTTGTTTCTGTGTATTGTTCGTTTTGTATTTTAGTGTTTTCGTTTCTTCCTTCCACTTTAATGATACCAGGTTGTTAACGAAATGATGCCCGTTCCTTTCCTGCATGAACTCAGATCAACAGAGTAGAGTACGTTCATGCGAAGAGTTTTCTTCACAGAGACATTAAGCCCGACAATTTCCTGATGGGACTTGGCAGGCGAGCAAATCAGGTTTTCACTGACACTCTCAGGGTTGATTATTCTCGGAAATGTCTGTACTGTTTTTAATCAGATTTTTGAAGAGTTGCTTTTTCTACACTAATCTCGTTCTTCGTAACTTTAAGGAGAAGCTTGCGCTCTTGAGGTTGTAATATCTCTACTTCCATTAATATTTCTATTAGAAGCAGCAGCACCTGAAAAAGTAGTAACAGAGTGTTGGTCATGAGGTTATGATAGGGTTGATTGGCTTAAACATTTCGGTTAGGAGATGCTATTGTGTATGAACTGCATCTTCTGTCATATCTATATCGGTTCTTATCTTGAGTGTAGCTTGTTGATGTGTCAGTGAACAATGTTTTACAGAAGTCAGCTTTATTTTGTTTTGTTTTCGTGTGTATCGTATTCCAGAATCTAAATGTGTTCACATGTTCTCATTTGTCATTTATGATTTTGTGTTCAGGTTTACATTATTGATTTCGGTCTTGCAAAGAAGTATCGCGATCCCTCCACTCACCAGCACATACCTTACAGGTGATTTTTCACCTATATTATTGTGTGCTTTATTCTGGGACATAATGATGTATGCATGTATCTACAAATGTATGGCATTCCTATCGTGCTGTATCGTCTATATAGATCCTTGCTGTAAGCCTAATGACTGACATATGTTTTTATTTTAAAAATTTTCTTTTAGAGAAAATAAAAACCTCACTGGGACTGCACGATATGCCAGCATCAACACCCATCTTGGTATTGGTAAGTGCATCGTAGATATTTTTAATTTTCATCTTTGGCAAGTGCTTTCCTATAATGCGATTCATCTTTGGTGTGTACTTCTTAATGTTGTGCTTGTGTTTAAGTCATTTCTCCTTGTTATCAGAGCAAAGCAGGAGGGACGATCTTGAGTCTCTTGGATATGTCCTTATGTATTTCTTGAGAGGGAGGTAAGTTATCTTTTGGTGTTCAGTCATAGTCTATAATTTGGATTACTCTGTGTTTTTGGAATGAGGTGGCTGCGTCCATAGTCATAATTTCTCGGAATGATGGAAACGAGAAGAACCTATCACTGCACTTCTCGAGAAAACGACGTATAGATGCCGTTATTTCATAATTTTCAAGAAAGCATAGTTACTGGTTTTGACTCTCTTGTTTTGCGGTTGCAGTCTCCCTTGGCAGGGGTTGAAAGCAGGAACCAAAAAGCAGAAATATGAGAAGATCAGTGAGAAGAAGATGTCTACTCCCATTGAGGTATAAATTCTTGATTCCCAACAACCCCTACGAAAAGTTTCAGTGAGGATCATGTAATGGCATTGCAGGTTATGTATGGTTTCTCCTCATGTTTGCCTGTTGGAACCTACGCAGGTTCTTTGCAAAGCTTATCCATCTGAATTTGCTTCATACTTCCACTACTGTCGGTCTCTTCGGTTCGACGATAAACCTGATTACGCGTACTTAAAGAGAATCTTTCGAGACCTTTTCATTCGTGAAGGTAGGAGTTATCAAGTATATAACATCATTTGTTATAGCGTTACGATTTTTCGTGGGTGTAGTGTATTTTGGGTCACTAGAGTTTTCACGGACTACTGCAATTGACATATTTCAAATTTTGTTTTTTTTTAAAGACTTAGTGTGAGATTTTTAAGAGTTTACATTGAATGAAGGAATTTGACCAAAACTTTTTCTTTTTCAATGCTTATGGTTTCTTATTTTTGAAATTTATTTTGTTTATTCCTGCCTCAGGTTTCCAGTTTGATTATGTCTTCGATTGGACAATCCTGAAGTACCAGCAATCTCAAATCGCTGGTGGTCCTTCTCGTGCTGTTGTATGTCCGATTCCTGTACACCTATGAGTTATATTTTTGATATTCTCGAATAAAGTTTGTTGTTTTACTTCTCTGCATTTGTTAATGCAGTCAGCTTGAGTCATGTATGAAATGCTGCAAAGTTGGTTTCGTTTCTCATTTGTGTTTATGTTAGACCCTATGCTTTGTTGGATTCTATTATCATCTAAGCAGTTCTTTGTTGATTGGACTATTTTCCCTGTCCCTTTCAGGGTGCACCTGGCGGATCAAGTGCTGCAGCAGCAGCAACAGGAACTGCAGGAGATCGGCCAGCGGGAAGTCAGAACCCACAGCGGACTTCCGAGCCTACGGATTCCATTCGACGTCGACTAGGGGGTGGCTCTAGTGGAATGAATTCATTAGACGCACCAAAACATAAAAGTCCTGGTCCAGATGACGGCGCCACAAAGGACACTGTAAGAATCTCGGTTCATCTGTACTGTTGGTTTTTTGGGTCCATGGTGACACGCCTTCTTTTTTCTTTTTTTTTGTGTTGTTTTTGTTTTGTTTTTGTTTTGTTTTTGTTTTTGTGTGTGTGTATGTGTGGAGGGTTTGTTGTTGACTGTTGTGGTAATGGTCTGGATCTCTTTAGGTTTTTGTTTTCCCATTCATGCCTTTTACTTATGATGTGAAGTGGATGTATCAGGCTCTTGGGGGTTTAGCAGAACCAGAGCGCGTGCATTCTTCTCCATTTGTGCGGGGAAGCTCTTCATCAAGGAGAGCTGTGCTTTCAAGCAGCGCTAGGCCAGCAGGATCAACAGAAGCTGTAAATGGTTCACGATCATTGGCTAGCAAAATTGGCCCTACCAGCTTGCGCACATCAGGAGGAATGCAGAGGAGCTCTCCAGTGGCTTCATCGGATCCCAAGCGGACGGTATCTAACCGCCATTTGCCGCCTAACTTGAGGAATTATGACGCCGCCTTGAAGGGAGTTGAGTCTCTTTCTGTTGAAGTGGATCAAAGCCAGTAAAGTAGGCCCCAGGTTTGTGGTTGGAGGGCAGAGCTGTTCGCCTGTCTCCTAAACCCAAATCCCCCTTTTGTTATGTAGTCGAGAGTTTCTTAATTTAGGAATAGCTCTGATTGAAGATTTTAATTTTTTTGCCTTAAAATTTGATCTTTTTCTTTTAACCTTACCTATGACTTGGGTGACATTTCATTTCGAGGTTGTAGTGACTTTTCTTTTCGATAACGAAACCTTTTGTTCCACTTTTGATAGCTCTGAATTGTCAATGGTGTGACAGTACGCTCACTTAGTTTTGCAGAAACCGATAGTACGTTCCTTTAGCCACTCTTAGTGCTTCACTAATCTGCTAGTCTTCTGCCGCTTTATATATATTTAATTATTTATTTTTCCGACCTATGACGGATTTCACCATGAAGTGGAGTAACGAAGTTGTTACTCTTTGGGTTCGCGAATCGTTACGTCCTTTTTCTTACGTCTTTCTGCTGCGAACATTGGATGTGTGATTTGGTCAATTGTCAACAATGGGGTTATTCCGGAGTAATGCCGTAATTAGGGCAGTCAGTCAACTGACCAGTATCGTGTTGAGTACTAAGTAAGGATATTTAGCTGAATCGATTCTTTGTTTGCATGGCTTGGCGCATGTGGGCATGGCTTACGTCTGGGCAGCCTGGCGGTTGTGCAGGGTCGAGATTCATATGCTGGAAACTTCGGAAGAAATACTAGTTCCTCTCGAATCTCAAAAGAGTGAGCACATTGGCTGAAGCTGGGTCTGAATCTTATTTAGAAAATATTGCAGCGTTATCTGGCCTTCGCATCAGCTGTACTTTGTGAATCTGGCCTTGTATTTGATATTAAAATCAGGTCTTGTATTTGATATTAAAATCATGTAGATGAGAAAGTTCAATTTTATGGGCCACTGTCACCTTTGTGGATTATCAGAGGTTATGTTATCTGGTTTCATTCTTGGACATGTTCGCCCTCATCCGTACAGTAGTGAAGTGGTTGAGCTTTAAGTTAGAAAATCCCATTGCAACCTGTCATTATCCAGAAATTGATTGAGGGGGTTCTTCAGCCTTCTGTGATAAAATATCTGGATATCGTACTGGATTGCTGTGCAGGCCTTGAAAATTTGTGGCGGCTCGTGATTATAAAGTGATTAGCTGCCTGAGCGAATATTAGTCGACAGTGGTGTATATTGGTTTGTTAAAGTCGTAGCAGGTTTGCATCAGGTGACTTTTTTTTTTTTTTTTTTTTTTTTTTTTTTAAACTTACCTTTATATATTATGTTTTTGTGTTTTTTGTGTCCGCTCTCTTAATCGTAGTTGAAATGTGAGTCAATGCTGACATACTTTAATATGTGCCCAGTTTGTAAGTTAATCGACAGGGGGACTCAATTCTTGAATTTGCTAAATGTTATTTCATCTACTCATCACCGTCTTACAAACCGGAGTTACCTGGTCAATTTTGTCAATTATTCGAAGTGTGTAATTCGATATATAGACGACTATCTAGTTGTTACTGTAATTTAACTTTTTGAATGTCCAACTCTCATAGATATGCCCCACTGGAAAGAGGATGTCTAAAGTTGTTTGGAAAACCCTCTTTTGCAAAGGGATTGGTGCTGGCTAAGCGTAGCCTTGGGGTAATTTCAAATTGCGAAGTCACATGTTGCGTTGATTTTAAATTTAGATGGGTTGATTTAATATTCCCTATTAATAAATGTTTATTGGTTTTTTAGATAACTCAAAACATATGTTGAAATAATTATGAACTTTGAATATTTGTCGCAATATCCATATATAAAATATTTATTGTTAACAAAAATTGTTTAAGTTTGGTACTTAGAATATTAGAAAATACAATTATCTAACATTGTAAATGTGTGAAAGTGTAATATCAAGATACTAAAAATACTTCAAATTATATGAATTTAGTTGGGTTGTCATAAGCAATTTTTTTTTTTTTTTTCTTATTCTTTACTCTTCTCTTGTTGTAGCATGGCATGATTACTCAAATCTTATGTTTTCGAATATTTAATCTGTTGTGGGAAGGTTTTCTAGAAATTAACCCTTTTTAAGCTGATTGTATCTCTACAAACGTTTCCTTCCGATCCTTAAAAAGTTTTTCCATATGTGTGCTACAAAGCATAGATGTCCTACAATGTAATTTAAAAATTTGTGATCCTGAGAATTAACTTCTTCCTTTACAAAATAGCCACATAGAAGGTATTCTTTATGATGGGAGTTTTATGAAGTGTAATTTCCAATTCACTTTTCTACTCTCATGGTTCTCTAAAACCTCACATTTCAAAATGTTGCATATGTATGTATATATATATATATATATATATATATTTCACAGATGTTTATAAATTTCATTTGCAAAGTGTAACCATGACATTATGAGTTGCAATTTCTTATTAGATTGAGTCTAAAGAGCTGAATAATATATTTGTTTCAGATAAACATACATATTATTCTATTTATAATTGCAAGTATTATTTATTTCTAATTTACTTACTATACTTATGTAAGTATGTATGTATATATACATATACATATATATTTGATATATATTTGATGATCTAAATTGTAAAATTTCTTTATAATTCATTTATTTAAAAAAATCCATAAAAATTATAACAAATTAAAGAATTAACAAATTATTTTGCATGTGTTGATGTTTTACTTTATATTAAAAAAATTACAACATAATCATTAGAATTCTTTGTCATGTACATTTATAATGTAGCATTTACATCTTATTGTAAGTAAAAAAAAATGTTTATAGATTGGAGCAAAATATCTTTTATAATTATGTTGCAAGAAATGTCTTTAAATAATTGCTAATAGTCTTTCATTTGAGGCAAAGAGTAGGTAATTCTTCTACTCAACTAATTTTTTGAACAATTACATAAGTTCTTAAATTCATTTTTAAAAATCTAACCACCAATTTTAAATCCTAATCATTGATCTTATGAATCTTTATTGTTTAATCTAAACTTTAAATATAATAGGTGATTCACTTACACACACACACATATATCTATCTATCTATCTATCTATATTTCTTGGACTTTGAACAACAATAAAATAGACAAATATCTATCCATCTTATAAGACATCTACACAAGAAAGTTATAGAGTTGTCTTGTCAAATCAATTTGAATTAAACAAATATTTACAAGTACATTATACAAAAGTCTTTTGTATTATGGTTATCCACACAAAATATAGAATGCACAAATCATTGCTTGTGTAAGAATTTTGTACTTAAAGCATTTCAAGTTTGATTGACTAACATCACAAGAAACATACATGTTAAGTGTAATGATAAAGAATATGAAGGTATTTGCATGAATTTATAGTAGATAGTAGAATTGTGAGTAAAATAAATAACTTTAAAAATTCTAAGATCATTGAACAAGCTTAGCACAACTTATTACATCCTAATGACATTTAAATAATAATCAATACTACAAATTATGCAAGAGCCAAGAATATCATTCTATGAATTATTTTAAGGATGCAATACAAAGTTGAAGATTCAATTATATTAATAAAAATATAATATATTACAAGTAATAGATCTTTGATAACTAAGTTAAATATATTGTTTGATGAATAGAAGATGTTTATTAGTTATTACCACATTCTAAAACACTCAAACCAAGGCGGATTCAATACAATAATTCATTTCAAAATCATTTTCTAATCAAAGATCTATATGGATCAAAGTTACTAGATTGTTTCATACAAATCCTAATTTAGGCTAATTGAGCAATTCTATAAGATATAAATATACGTGCATCCTTATCTTCATCTATTGTAGTTTACTTTGCAATATTGAATGCCGATTGAATTGAAACCTAAAGACAACAAAAAGCTATGGAAAAAAGAAAAAAGAAACACTAACAACCACTTATAAAAATAATAATCAAGTTTCTTACAAAACATTGTATATTTTAAATGCTCTTACTTCTCTTCTTTGGATTCTATTATGGTTTCTTTTCTATTTGGACTTGCATCATTAACTCTCCTATTATATGTTGGTGTGCCTCTATATACAATAATAGTAGCATTTATGCCAATTTCTATAAGAGGTGCACCAACTCTAGCCCTTTCTATTTGAGCTCTCTAACTCAACATTCATAGTTCATTCTCTTTCTTCTCTTTTTCTTCATCAAGATATCATGCTGAATTTTAGACCATGCTTCTATAACCACTAATGCCTTCTGCTTTGCAACATACGAAGACTTTTAAAGCTTAACAAAATTATGATTAATTTGCTCCTATTGAAGACTTCTTCTATTAATAATTAATTGCTCATTGAGAAGAAATGTGTAACCTTTAGGATTTTTCTAATTTGAAATGCAAGGAGGAATTTTTCAATCATATTGATCTTGTGATTCATGTCCTTGATAGTTTGATAAGAGTGCTATTTTTTTTTTTTTTTTTTTTTTTTTTTTTTAAAATTATTATTATTATTATTTTTAAATTATTTTTAAATTTTTTATGTTTTAAATTTGTAAACTATCCACCTTTAAATTAGCATATTTTTAAAAATTTTCTAACAATAATTGTTTCTTTAAAGAAAGTAGAGTACTTGTCTTTGAAGAAATTTTTATTTGATATTAGAAGTTATAGATTATCGTCCTCTAATTTGACTTGCAAATTTATTAGAGATATTTGTTATAAAGATATTACTTCATGTGCTTCATTTAGACAAATTTTTTTATAGAATTTATTAATACATATGCATATTAATTATTATAATTGATAACAGTTAATTGTGGAAGATTTTATTGCAGATTATTTAGGAACCACACAACTTGAAAGGTCATGATTGCCATGGTCATATATTTAGCTTGTTTGTTTGAAAATGTGAAGGAACTGTGGCAGATGGAGCCTTGGCTTACAATGCCATTGAAAAACATACAACAATATCTTAATGTGGATCTATGCTTATTAATTATTTTGATTCATTTAATATTATTAAACCCATATAATAGGCAAGAATTAAGATTTGTGCAGTAGTATTGAAGGAAGTATCTCAAAGTGTGTAAAGATAGTAGAATATGTATTTGTAGTCTTAGATATGTGCATGGCCAAAATTATATTCATTGAATGAAAAGACTGATTGCAAATGAGATGTTATGATGGGTGTAGAAATTGGCCAAATTGATTGTGCCGAGCACATTGGCATAAGAAAATTTAGTGCATAGTTTTTGGCTTAAGGTACAGGTGATTAATTGACAACAAATACTTGTAGACTTAAGATAAAGAAAGTGGAGATAGGCTGCAAGGTATAAAATCCAAGTTCTACTATTTTTTACTGAAAGTAGAAAGATTATATGATTAAAGCTACTCTTATTATTTGTTGGGGGTAATTTCAGACTAAGCAAGTGATGACTATCGCTAAGATTGGAGGAAAGGAACCATGACTAAAGTTATTATTTTAATATGTCATGGCAAATTGACATAATTATGTGCAATCAATATGTTATTAATGTAGAAGGTAAAAATGACAAAGTTTGGACAATGATTTATATAATACATATTGTTGTTGGCAATTGAATTTACAAAGTTGATGGTAGTAAAAAATTTGTTGATAATTTTGTACTATTCTTAAGATGACTATTTGAGGCCATATAAAGTTTTTTGAAGGGGACATACCATCTCAAGTTGTAGAAGTGAGATACCTTTAAGAAATAAATTAGGTGCATATTATTAAAGAGAAGGTTTTGGTGAAATCTAGCTCAACAATTTGGTTAAAGCTATAGGTAATAAACTAAGCTTTAAACCAATCAATATAATTAGTACTCTTTAATTTGATTTTGAAGAACCACTCATATGTGATAAGCCTATGGTGGAGTAGTAAATTGATAAATATTCTTTTTTTATTTGCTATATGAAAGTTTTGTTCTTCTATAGTTGCTTATTATCAATAA